CAGAAGGCTACAAAAGGCAGTGTGGCTCCTCCCTGACCCTCCATACTGGGGCTCAGGCTGCCACCCCATTCCACCCCCTCTGGATGCTCTTAACTTTCTCCCCAGCCCCAGAGCCTCCTTTCAGGCTGAGAATGTCACATGGAATAAGCAGAAAAGACAAGGGTGTTATGTTTTTCCTGACACTCCCACCACCCTCATGCCTGGTCCTCTCATCCAGCTCTACCTGCCCAGGGGGCAGCCCTTGGATTGCAGCTTCATTTCAATTCTCTGCTAAACTGAACTTCCGCAAGCTTGAGCGGTTATCTCATGAAGCACGTCCGCCCCCAGTGGCATCTCTACCTAATATGCCTGCTCTCTGCCTGCCCAAATCCCACCCACCCTCCTAACTCCAGCCTGGAATCCACCTCCTCCTGGAAGTCTTCAGTTCTTTGACTTCAAGTCTTCAACATTATTTAGGAACCTACTCTGTGCCAGGGAGAGTGATAAGAACTGAGGATGAGGGTGGCACCTGTGGCTCAAGGAGTAGGGCACTGGCCCCATATGCCCGAGGGTGGTGAGTTCACACCCAACCCCAGCCAAAAAAAAAAAAAGGAAAAAGGAAAAAAAAACTGAGGATGAGAGTGGACACAAGAATTCATAAATCCTGGTCCTCACATGTACAGAGTTCAAATAACAGGGAAACAGGAGAATGGCTGGAATAATTACATTGTGATAACACAGTTAATTAAAAAACCTTATCAGATGAGGTGTACACCACATACGGCACAGGCACTTTAAAATAAACTATGCTTGGCTCAGCACCTATTGTACAGTGATTATGGCACCAGCCACATACACCAAGGCTGGTGCGTTCAAACCCGGCCCAGGCCAGCTAAACAATGACAACTGCAACAAAAAAATAGCCAGGCATTGTGGCAGGCAACTATCATCCCAGCTACTTGGGAGGCAAGAGAATCCCTTAAGCCCAAGAGTTTGAGGTTGCTGTGAGCTGTGACCCCACAGCAATCTACTAAGGGCAATACACTGAGACCTTGTTTCAATAAAATAAAATAAAATAAAATAAAATAAGCTATGCACAAGGTAGGTACTAATCCTGTCCCATTTGACAGATAGGAAAACCAAGGCACTTATCTTGCCCAAAGTCACACACCTAGGTGGTGGAAGCAGGAATTGACCACAGGCCATCGGCTCTAGACATCCTTTGTTCAGCTGCCCCCAACCTGGCAGCCAATGGCCACAGCGCAGCCAGTCTGCAGTTATGGCCGGGTCAGATCCTCCCTTCTGCTCCAACTAAGGCTCCACCAGTGCCCTCACGTACTTAGCTG